CCTTCCTGACTGCATCCCCACACTGCCGGCCCATGTTCATTTTGGAATCGAAAATGACTCCAAGATCCCTTTCTGCCACTGTGTTTTCAAGAAGGGAGCTCCCCAGCCTATAGGTATGCTGCTGGTTCTTGCTGCCCAAGTGCAGTACCCTGCACTTGTTAGTATTGAATCCCATCCTATTATCATTCACCCACCCCTGTAACCTGTCCAGGTCCAGCTGTATCTTGTCCCTCCCTTCTAGTGTACCCACCTCACCCCAGATCTTGGTGTTGTCAGTGAATTTGAACAGGGTGCTTTTCACCCCCTCATCCAAGTCAGTAATAAAGAGATTAAACAGTGCAGGCCCAAGGACTGAACTTCGAGAATGGGGTGGGAGACAGTGTCAAAGGCCTTTCTGAAGTCCAGATAGACTACATCCACCACGACATCTGCGTCCAATGATTTTGTGACCTGTGTCCAATGATCTTTTTCCATGGGTAACAGAAAAACTGGATCCCTGGTAATAACTTTGTGGCTGGTTTCCATCATGCCTTAAATTGAACATGTGGCCAGGTATCAGCTGATTAGGGTTCCCAGATTTGAGGATGTATCTGTGTCTCTAACTCCAATGTGCTTCTCAGGGTAGGAGCACTAATCAGCTGTTGCTTGCAGCCTCTGGGGCACATTAGAGGTAGGGGTGCACCCCTGAGGCTGGAAGTGGCAATCAGCTGATCTGTGCTCCCAACCTTGGCTCCAGTGTGTCTGGGAGGAGCCTGGGAGGAGCAGCTGATAGGGGCTTCTAGCCCCTATCATGCATCAGAGTCTAGGTATCCAGTGCAACCTGGAGACTGGAAGCAGCAGTCAGCTGACTGGCTTGCTACTTCCCAGTGCAGGGGTGCAGCATTATGATTCCAAGCTCCCTCTGCACTGGCATTATAGCAGGTTTGGGATCCAATCCCCAGTCCCACAATTGCACCTTCTGCCATGCACATGTAGCATGCCAGAAGGCCCGATTGTTGGGATTGCACATCATTTTCCGTTGTGCCTTTAAATGACAGCTGAAATAAGAAAACTGATGCAAAAATCTGCCCCAGATCCAAACAGCTATGGCACTAATTACGCATAGTATTTGAACTAGATGAATATACCAATAAGGCAGCTCTTCTGCAGCTACAGAATGACTTTCCTATACCTTCTGTTTATAGGTATGGGTGGTCCTTCTGTAATACCCATGAAGTACTCTGAAGAATGACCAATTTATGTTGGCTTTGTATGAAACCCCAGGAAGAAGCATACTGGCAAAATGGCAGTATGAGCGACACACAAAAGTTGATCAAGATCAGCTATGAAACTGCACAAGTCCTGTAGCCACACAGTGGAGAGCAGTGAGAAGATTATGCATATACAGGGGCGGATCTGGTGGGGGAGCTGCAGCAGTACAGTTGCAACCCTCTTTGATTCTTGTTCTATCCAAAGTTTAAAACCAACTGCCTGGCAGTGACAGCAGCATTTCTATTCAGGTAGCTGTGAAGGAGTCACTTGACTACA